AATCCTTGAACTGGGGAGTGTAAGGTTGGTGAGGCAGTGCCAGTAAAAATAGTACATACAGCATTTTTGTGCATAGTCCAGTGACCTCAGAAAGGGGAAGCAAACTCAGGGAAGGTCATATTTGGACTAGAGGGGACTGCTTTTAAAATGGTGCTTTGGACACATGGCAGGCAAAGGCAAAAAGGTGAAATGGCCAATGAACACCAAGGTGTGTAAGAGAGTGAAGAAAGAATTGTTGTGTGTGCTAGAGCAGCAATGTGATTTTATGGACTAGGCTGGATGAGGAAATATCTGTAAATGTATTTAAGCAGTGAGGCTGGATGCCAAAAGAGGGGAAGGTAAGGAAAAGCTGGAAAGCAATTAAATGAGGTTGTGGAAGAAAACTGTGACAAAATACTTCCAGCTACATAATGATGATTTGGAAAATAATGAAAATGCAGTGGAAAACTAGGGGCAAAGCTCAAAGCTGTGTTGGCAGATTTATAATATCGGTGTTAGGAAATGTTCTTCAGATGTTTATTCCAAGGCCACCTGGAAAGGTACAGTGAATACAGATCAAAAAGGCCTTGTGAAAGATGAAATCAGGCTAGATTTCAGCTATTGCTTACACATGCCTCCCCTTCAGTCCAGCAGAAAGTGGAAGTAGTGTAAATGTGTGGATTTTCGGAGAGCTCTGATAGATCTGCATGATGTAATAAATAATGATCTGAATTATATTTTTATTTTTTTAATAATAAAGAACTTTATAGCTAAGCAGCAAGCTAAAAATTAAAACTATCAATTTTTTGCAGGATAGTCCTCCTGTGAACTTGATACAGCATTCATATAGTGACTAATTCTTTGGAATGTGAGCCCTGCTCAGTCACTATTATGAGATTTCTTTTAAATACATTACTCTTTCTTTACATGGATCCAAGACTTTCTCACTTGCTTCTAAAGGAAGGGATAAGGTCCAGGATCAGAACGTGGTTTGGAATGAGCAGACAGCCCATGCTGCTGAGCCACAGTCAGGTCAAAGTGCAGAGTACTTTGATCCTAGAAGAATCAGAGTGCAAAGGGACAGTTTATCTCCCTGTCAGCAATAAAACAGGGAGGCAATATCTGGTTACAGTGACCTTGGAGATGGAGACACACACACACAGGTAAGCAGACTGAGAAGTCAGAAGCATGTGCAAAGCAGCTGTAGGATTGTCAGAATGTTTCTAAGCAGAGACACTGTGATCCAGACATTGCTGAAAGGTTACTTGGTCTGATATCCAAGGAGGCCTAATTAATAATAATGTCAGCAGCTTTAAAAGCTTTACAGCAATCTGCAAGTTGCATCAGTGAAAGGTTTGAATTGCATGAGTGAGTCCCTGTTTATGTTGAGTATACAGGCATAGGCCCGAGGCAAACTGCCTTGTAAACAAATGTTGAATTGGATCGGCAGTATTGCCAAAATATTTACTAGTTTTCCTTCTGGGTCAGGTGGTTGAAACATCATTTCCATGCTTTCATTGCACAGAGATGGCCTGAAAGGAGAAGGAGGATTAAAAAGAAATAGTTTGGCAGGGTTTGGCCAGGGCTGCCAGAGCAGACACAAATTTTGTGTAGGGAAAGGAGGCACAGAGGGCTGTGTCACTGGCAGCTCCTTCTGTGTGGGTGATTCAGAGCTTGACCAAGACCTGAAAGACAGAACCTCTCTCAGTTCCCTGTTGTCAGTCTGTTCTTCCCACAGAGATGCTGTTTGCCAGCAGTGCTTCAGGGGAGAGAACACTGTTAGTCTTACCATGATTCCAAGTGATTAGCACTGTGCTCCATAATATAGAAACTGATACTGGATTTTATTTATAGTACTGACTGTTGTCCTCGTGAGAAAGATGCCTTTTCACCTCCAGATCTGCTTCTTCCTCCTTGCTTAAAGGGTAGCTAGCAAGAGAGGAAGAGTCCTTTTTTTCCCCACCTCTGCTTTGGTTTGATTAGGAGTTTTGCTGTTGTGTCAGATTTGGCAGGAATACATTCTCCAACATCAGAGCAGTATATGGAACGTCAAACAAAATTGCTACTGTTACCTTACAGTGGCCCTTGAGGTGACACAAAGCACAGTGCAGTGTTGGCTGCTATTTGGAGAACAGCTACATGGACAGAATATGCTGCTCTATGTGCTGGAAATCTGAGCTATTTCCAAGGATGGGGAGAAAGAACACCCCCCCCCCAGGACATCACCACAGAACCTCATTCAGTCTGTCAATAGAACAGCAGAATAGCCTAAAAAGGAGGATGAAAAATTTTGTCTTTGCAAAAGCAGCTGAATTTTCTCTGTATGTGGAGCCAGAACTGTGGGCAGTCAGACCTCTGAGCAGCAGTTGCTGATCACTTCTCTGGCATATCAGACCTGAAAATCCAGGGAACATGTAGGACACAGTGCCTCAAAAAGTTACCCACCTTCTTTTCAGAGGTTTCCTTACCTTAAGAGGAGCAGTCAGAACAAGGAAAAATATCCTTTGATAGGTTCTGCTTTTACCTCAGAGTTGAGGGAAAAGAAGTGGAAATTTTGGCGTGGAACTGAGTGAAGTATAGAAATGGCCAGGAAATCAAGAGGTAGCTGGCAGAGTTAATGAGAAGGCAAATACTGTTCAAGACCACACTCCAGCAGAGTTCCTGCTCACCTTCTACCTCTTTTCAATCCCTTTTGGCAGACCTTGAAGCTTCTGTGTCAGTGGGAAAGCTCATTTCTGAGAAGGTTCTGTTGAGAGCTTTTCTCTGCCTGTAGGATTAAAGTTTCTTCAAATCCTTTTCCATTCCCTGAAAACCCCAAATTACTCTACCGCAGCACCCCAGATTCCTAACCCTTCTCTCAGGTGTTGATTTAGCTGCTTCTATTGTATAGATTCAAAGCACAGTCCTTTAAATTGACATTGTTGGAACAAATCTTCCTTTCTTGAGACTGTGAAAGCTTTTTAAATTTTTATTCCCCCTCACCCAAGGCGTTACTCCTAATAAAACTAAGGTATAACTAAAATTTGTTTTAAAAGTCTGTATATATAGACACTGACCTGTCATTCAAATTGGCTGGGTATGCAAAAGCTGCGTAAAATTAAAAATTAATGAAAGCACACAACAGACACAAGAAACCTGGCAAGTAACAATAAACCTCATCCACTTAACATGCAATCATCCTGCCTAAAACCAATAAGCATGCCAAACAGGCAGGACAGGTTGTGTGCAGAAGGATTCTAGATTATCTTGTTCTAATGCACTAAAGCTGTAGTTCAACCAGTTTTTATTTTAAAGCCAATATTACCACAGAAAGGAGGAGTCCCATGCCTGTGAACTTGCTCTTGGGTTTCCACTTTCCGTGCTGGTTTCTATATATCCTCCACCCCCTTTCTCTGATCCTGCTTGCACTGGGATTACTGGGTGACTGTGGGTGAGGCATCTGAGGAGCTCATTTACATCGGCGGGGGAAGCAGGAGGAAAAGCATCCAAGGGCTGGTTTTCTACTCCCGCAGTCCCTCGATGTTGTTTTCCACACCTATCTGGGATGTTTCCAGTGCTACACTATACTTCAAACTAGGATGGGAAGAGGCAATTTGGAAGCATCTAAGCAGGCAGGCACCTGAAACGGGTCACCCTTTCCTCCCAGTACATCCCTGTGCTCCATTCCTGTGCTTTGTGTGCAGATGAGAATGTTTGGCTATAAAATATGCCCCTTGTTCTTGCAGATATGGTGTGAAAATAAAGCTTGAAAAGGGGGGGGTATCATCCCTTGCTGCCACAGACCTACCAGGGAGCTTTACCTCCTAAAACCATACCCTACTTTTTTCCCCTGCACCTGCTTATCATGAGTTCAGCTGTTCTTTCTGTAATTAACATAATTAATTAACAATTTAATGAATTAAATAAGCTGCAATTAACATATCACAGCTCTTACTGGAAAAGATGTGCAGAGCCTTGTGGAATAAGAGCAGGCAGGCTGCTGTTGTTTAAAATGTAGGTGGTTTGTGTGTGCCTCCATCATAATGTGAATTTCAGTTTTAAATTAGAAAGCTGGTGAGTCTTAAATTCATGCAAGACAGACTTTTTTTCTAAACTAATCTCCATAAAAGTGAATCAGTTTGCTGTGGGGGTAGTTCAGTATTTTGGGAAGTGCATGTTTTCTGTTTGTGAGCTGCAGGTACTGCTGTAGGAAGAAAATGGTAACACAGTTTCCATCAATACTACCAGCATGTGTGTGGGAATGCCCAACTGCAGGGAGATTCAAAGGGTTGGCAAGCCTTACACTATGGTGACAGCTCCTTTCTGGTAGCAGCACACATCTACATAATATTGGTCTGTTGACAGATGGGCTGGTTTGAGAGTATCAAGTTAAAAATGGCCCAGTCACACATTTCTGACCGGGGAAGGTGACTCTGAACTGGGTGCTGGTTCTCTGCAGTTGCTGCAGAAATCCTCTTTTTTGTGCCAACACTGCAGCCAATGCTGACACCCTGGTTGAGGCAACCCCCTGTCCAGGAACCTCTCCCTGCTTTGCAGCAGGGCTTGGTTCAAATGCTTTCTGTCCACTCAGTGTGGGAGCTGCTTCATAGTCTTGGTTCAGAAGTAAATTTGGAATACCCCCACAATCTACCCTGCACCCCAACCAACTCTCATAACCCGCTCTGTGAACAACCACCACTTCAGAGGGTAAAAAAGAGGGATATGGGTGGAATGAAGATGAGTTTTGTAGGTCTTGGAGACTTTGTGGACAAATGAGTGGTTTCCTTCACCTGTACTAAGAAGCTGGTAACTTTTTTTCCAACTTCTCAAGCTCTCTGTCATTGTGAGTTGCAAGAGAAGAGCAAAATGCCTTTTCACATTTTCACAGCATGCTTATGGAAAGTCACCTCTGTGATAAAGACTGCAGAAATTGGAGTCTAGATCATCATTTGTCATGGAAGGTCTCTACACTGTACTACAGCATTACTGGGTTTTCAGTCTTGCATTTCATATCCTCACCGTTTTTTGCTTCTGTCCTTTAGGTAAGGCACAGAACTTCAGACCAGGTGATGGCTTTGAAGATGAACACACTGAACAGCAACAGAGCAAACATGCTGAAAGAGGTTCAACTTATGAATAGACTCTCACATCCAAACATCTTAAGGTACACTGGCTTTTTTTCTGAATTATATAGAGATAAGTTGTCTTTAGTAAGGCTGTCCTATTTTCTATCTTTATTTATTTATTTTCTTATACTGTATCTGTTGTGAATGTGATAGGATCAGTTGCTAATTTAATAGAAGAAGGGGGAGGAGGAAGAAAAGACTTGAGAGGAAAAAAATCCCCAAAACATCCCACGGACATGATTTTGGTATCTGGAGTTTACCAGTAAATGAGTAACATATGTCAGAGAAAAAAAACAAGTGTTCACATTTTAAATTTCAAATGACTCAGTAAAGTGATATGAAGAGGGAAATTTGGCTTCTTTCCGTGAATTTAAATTATTGCAAATTTAACACCATTCAAATAACCTATGGTTACTAATCTTACAGATCAGCAATGCAAAGTGCCGTAGCTGCTGCTTATTTTTAGGTCTGCTTCCTAGTTTTTAGCATTTTCTTATTGTAGTATTGCCAGGTGGTATAAGAGGGACAGAAGAAAAGAAGCTAGAGTTGAACTAATCTGATTTTTCTGCTCCTGAAAGGAAAAAGGTAGTTCTTGCTTTGCAAAAGGTTTCTGCATGCAAATCCAAAGTGTTTCAATGTGTATCTTGAATCTTTTTAGTCTTGGTTACTCTTCTATGATGATGTGACAAGCAATTAGGATAATTAGCTGAAGCCATAACATTATGAAATTTAAAGATGTGATGACAGTGCACCAAATAACCAGTTCTCCCCAACTGCTGTTGTGCAGCTGGGATCCGTTTTTGATCTCAGGCAGTGCAGCTCTTTCTGAAAACCTTCAGAGACATGGTGACCTTTGTTACTTCATTTCCTCTTTTTCACCTGTCTGTTAAATAGTACAGACAGAGAGCACTGATTCCTAAAATCCTCTATAACCAACTTTTTTGATCTGTAAAATCCCATCTCAGTGTTCATCAACTGATGTGTAACAATAGCATTTCCGTCAGTATTTATGAGGACACCTATCAGAAGCATTTGAAATATTTGTAGGGAGCATTCCAGGAAGTCATGTCTGTATTCTTTATTTTTTTTCTTAAAACCTCAAAAACCTGTGAATTTAGAGAATTTTTACCTGTAGTAAACTGTATTGGTTCTATTACAATATATTTATTCGAGTGGTGTACGAATCTATCCTTAATTACAATTCTTAGTCTATTTTCTCTGCTCTGTTCCCAGCAAGTCCTCCTTCTGTTTGGCTGTTTGTTTGTTTGTTTTTGTTTTTAGTTCTCCCATTTTTTTTTAAATTTAAATTTTATTACCTATCTGGCTTTTTAGATTTCAGTATCACAAATTGTTTCTTATGTCTATCCCCCACACCCTTTCCCTCAGAATCCTTAGATAGGCACTACATGATCCTGGAGACGGGGACCCTGATCCAGCTGCTTTTTTAGTAAGGTCTGTGGAAAGAACAACTTCATAGGATTGTCAGAATCACTTCATGGTCTTCTTTATCAACTTTGTGTGGTTTGTAAATCTTATTTTGTAAAAAATCTAGGCATTCGATTGCACCTTGATATAACCTTGCTCCCCCTTGAATGGAATTACTGAGGTGTTGCTGGAAACAAAAGTTGCTGTGCTCAGTCCTGAGTAATTGCTGCAATTCAAATGTTTTATGTTGTCTGAGAGATCATATCTGTGATATACTGGTCCCCCCTGGCCTTAAAGCCTGTGAATAATTTGAAGTCAGGGGTGTTGCACAGATGGTCCTGAAGGAAGAACAATAATGTATTGATTTATGCCTGAAGCAGAAAAGGAATTTCATTTGGTCTCCCAGTTATTACCCAGGATTGATAGAGAAGTCTTTCTCTCTGTGTGCTCAGCTAGGCAGTTATGAGTGAATACATCAGAAATAAATGACTTAAATAGAAACAATTTATCTTTGCATAGTGTGTTTTGAAGGAAAAGCTGCATTTGATTTATTAATTGCTTGATTTGAGGCTTCTTCTTAGAGAGTTGGTTCTTTGGTAAAAAAATACTGCCATTTTCTTATCTGTTAGGTGAGTCTCCTTGCTACAGGAAATGCAAATGGGAAAACAGGGTTTAATTTTAGTCTATTCTTTTACTGAAAAACTTGCCCTGATAGTGATAAGTGGTGAGAGGTTGTATTGCTTGTTTGACAACATTGTGTTGTCAGAGAAGAGCAGCTGGCGTTGCATTGCTGAGAGGCCTCCAGGAAAATGTTCTACAGCAATGTGTTCCCACTGAAACATTTTCTGGGATTGTTTTTGGAAATTTTAAGCTTATATTAGGATTTAAAAGGAACATCCTCTTCCAAGAAGTTCTTATGTATAACTTCTCCAGGGGCTATGAGCTACCTCAGTTTGCCATTAAATATTATTTTCTTCATTTCTGTCCTTTGAAGTTTTCCTCCATATTACTGAGTAAGGTGTTTTGTAACCAGCATCAGCTTTACTTCTCTACTGATTAGTCACTGGATCTCTTCCACAAGCCTTGAAGGTGTACTCTGCTTTTTATGGAATATAGAACCTCTGAGCTTCTTCATATTCTGTAAGCTCTGGGACTACCTGCTGTTAATTTATGATTAAAAAAAGCTGCTTTCCTTAGTGCTGATCTTCTTTTAGCCAGTAAGGATACGAGTGGGTTCTTAGGCTGAAATGTTGAGATCATGTTGTGCAGGACTTGGTTGTTGCAGGTGAGGGCTGTGAGGTGCTCTGATGTCAAATGGCTTGTAAAATTATGAAGCTGGGTAGATACTGGCCTTGCAGCCTCCAGATTTCTGCTCTCGAACCCACTTCAGCATGTGCAGTTTAAATGTTTTAGAAAGCCAATGTCAGGGTTAGCAACGATGTATTTATTTTAACATACTAAAATATTGCTTAAGCTGAGTGTGTGGTTGTGGTTTTGAATGTGTCCTGGTACTTTGGTACCTAAAATTGGTAATTCAGTCAGTGCTTTTGTGCTAGAACTTTTGTAGTTTATACAAACTAAGTGGTATGAAAGAGAGAAGAGGCTCATTATTATCCTTTGGATGCTTAAAAACCCCATCCCTTTGTCAGTGCTCTAAAATATAGAGCTTTGTAACTTTTTACAAACTGTCAATGATGTTACTGCAAAGATTTGGTGTTTCTGCCATTGATTGCACTGATGTGAACAATAAATATTGCTGACTATTTAAAACTGCTTTTGCTTCTGTGCTGCCCATATCAGTTCCTTTTCGGAGTTACAGATGCCTCTTGAGGTTTTTATCCAGACTGTGATCATTTTTTTGGAGTGTGTTTGTCAGCAGTTGTTGACTTCCTCCCATTCCTTAGCTCAGCAGGGATTACCAGGAGGCAGATCCATGTTTTTACCTCAGTGACACTCCTGTACTATTTGAGGAGATGCAGTTGGGTTAAGGTGTTTCAGTTTCTCTGCTTCTAAAATTTGGTGAAGCACCAATCTGGGTATTTAGGCTTTGAAAGCCTTTTTATGCACAGGGTGAAAGGCTGACTTTGAATCTCCCCACTCATTTCCCTGTTTCTGCACTCAAATTCTGCTCCTGGCCAGCTATGTAGATCCATCTTGATCAGAAGACTGATGTAAGTGAAGAGTTAGTTTTCACTTACACAGTCCCCAGTAAGTATACCCGTCCCCATGGTAGGACCATAAAGATTCCAGTGGTCAAATATATGTGTGTATATAAATTTCTAATGGATTTTCCATCAAGAAAATGAGAAACTCCCCTCTCTTAGAGGGTTTATTTTGGCAAAAATAGAGCCTCTTTGTCAGTCTGTTAAGGATATTTTAGAATGGATGAGTTCAGCTCTTGGAGCTACACAGCCATGATGGTAAAAAGTGAGGGGATTTTGGAGTTTTTTTGTTTGTCTCCCTTCCTCTTGTTTCCTGTTTCAGCTAGCAGATATGATTCCAGAAGCAGAATAAATGTTAACTATAGTGGAGTAACTTTTTGTTCAGTCACTGTTTGATGTTCATAGCAAACTATGTATGAAAGAGCTGCTTATTTTTTTGGTTTTTCCTCATGGTCCAGCTTAGGGACACTTTAGGAGTGGACAGGGCAGGAGCAGACGAATGTTTTTCATGTTTTATTCTGTTTCTACCATCAGCTTCATCTCCTGTCCCCACCTCACACCTGCATACAAGCTAAATACGGAGAACTAAAATGCCTTTCTGCCTCTGATCTACATTTCACCCTGCTTTGGGCGTGGGATGTGCTGGTTTTATCACATCTTCCCTCGGAACAGATGGTGAGGGGAGGCATGAAGAAGTGAGCTGGACTTCTGGTTTGTCCCACGTGATGTTTACTACAACCACTTTAATACAGGTTGGGTGATACATGGCAAGACTGTCGTTGCTGGGGGTAGGGAAGGCAGAGTTTTGGAGCATTTCTTCACTTCCTTATTAACTTCTGTCCTATTTAAAGGGCAGTGCTGTTCAGGGCTTGGGTCAGATCTGGTACCAGAGCTATGAAAGGTTTGGTTTATGCTTTTGTTCTGCTGTTTTGCTGATTCCCTGAGTGCTGGTGTGCTGCTGTGTAGTCATGAGTTTTTGCCCATAATGAAGTAAGAAAATAAGGCTGTAAAGGACTCGAGAAGTCTCTGTCCTTTTGCCCTGGTGGGGAGCCTTTGGGCTGGAGTTTGGGAGACCTGATACCTTTCCATTTTGGTAATATCATGCAAGTAGGTTTTGTTTTTTTTCATATTCACAAGTGCAGTGCTGTGCTACCAAAGATTCCCTGTCTCCTGTGCTGTCTCTTAAATTAGTGTATCTTCAATTTCGAGCTAGAATTTCAGTCTTTAATATCACGACCGTTCGCATGAAAAACTATTTTACTATTTGATCTGTACCTCGGGGACTTGAGTTAAACCACTCTGTGCACAGAAAGCCTCAGCTCATGCCTTAAGTGCTCTCGTGGGAGCTCTTGGAGATATTGCTGCATGTTTGGCTGGGAGCATGAGGGCAGATTGACTCGTGGATTAAACCCACCTCCTCGTGCCTGCCTGCACACAAACAAGCACACAGTGTGTGTGTGTGTATTCCACGAGCTTCTTCCAAGGAGAATTTCATTTCGTCTCCCTTGAGGCAAATGCAGCACCCTGGGAACACAATACCAGGGTTTTTTCTGTGTGCAGCTTTCTCCTTTCAGACCTTCCTTTCTGTGAAATTACTCGTGATGGACTTTTGTTACAATAGCCAGAAGGATGGATTTTGTCTTCTAACATCCTTTGTCATGTGTTGAAAAGTGCTTTAACAGGAAAGAAAATTACTTTTGCTTCTCTTTGTGTAATGTGATTATCAAAAAGGAGTATTGCAGGAATGCAGTGTGCGAGGCAGCAGAAGAGAGGCTGTTATGTGCTGTGTGTAGTATGTTACAGAAATGATAGATTAAATGCCTTACCTCTGTCCAGAATCAAAATACAAGTGTAGAAAACTTAAAATACATTTTTAATCTATCATGGTGCCTAAAACATTAATGCAGACCTAATGTTCTTACCCTCTTCCTTCTCCAAAAATCAGTGCAATGAAATAAGAGGGTGTTACTGAGCTCATATCAGAGACTTCTGCACTGGTGTGTTTGGTTTGGTTTGGTTTTTATGTTTAATGTTATCAAAGTGCTGGATTTTCTCATACAAGCAGTAAATTTCTGCGGGCATCAATTTATTTTGCTGAGGTGTAGCTGCCCCACAGCTGTCTTTATCCACAAAACAGGAATGTGTGCCAGTGAAGTGCTTTTAATGGGAAGCATGTGTTCAGTGTCTGGATGTCCACACAGGCTGTATAATCTGAATATTAGTTTTGCTTGATAAATTAAGGCAAAGAGCAGACAGAGGCTACAGCTTTCCCTTTTCTGTCCAGGATTTTCTTCCTTGCCATCTGACTGAACTGCACGTGGTTTCAGCTGTAAAGGACTGAGAGATATCCAGACTGCCTTCTCTTGCCCTCCTTTAGGAGGAGGGATATTCCAGATTGATTGATTGAGGAATTACCTCGTTTACAAAATGAGACTCCCAACATCTGTAGGTTGCTGACATTTGTTAGAAAGCATTTTGTGTGCTGCACTGTGTTTAGCAGGCTGGACTCGAGTAACGTGCTTCGTATTTGCAGCTTCTGGAAAACTTTTCCAACCGCTCGTTACGATTTTGGAAGCGTTTCAGCTTCCTGATAAGGCCAGATACACAGTCTTGAAAATAAACTTCCTCGAGCCTGCAAATGCTCTCCTGTTTTGTGGGTGACTGGATCATTGAAGCTTCTTTCCACTAGGAATGCTTATAGGAAGTGTCACCTTTGGCTGACAAGACAATCTGCTGAAGTTCACCTACGAGCACATTTTGGCTCAGGAGTTGGAGCGTCTCGCCAACAGGAATCATCTCAGCTGTGCTGGACCAGCATGTCAGCTTCCTCTCCACAGACCTTGGAATCTCAGCTGGGGCAATCTCAGAAATTGAAATCAGATGTTAAATCTTGCTTGGTAATGGTATTTCCCGGTAGCAGCTGGGTGTATTATCTTAGAGTGAAAATCCTTTCCAACAATGTTTTGTAGCAGTACTTGGCTTAACCAAGTGCCTTATTATTGCTTGATAAAGCAGCTAAGCAGAAGTTTTTCAGGCACTTGGATCACTACAGGTCTGTTCTCTCAATCTGTTTTCCAGAGTCTGAAAACTGAGATTCACGACAAGAAGTTTAAATGGCCTCAGTGTGTTGCTTGTAAACTCATTAATTCTTTTTATCAGTGTATCTGGTTTCTCTTTTCCTGGGGAATGGCTTCTAAATATGAAGGGGTTTATAAATGTATCTTTATAAATGTCCAGCTTTTTGCCATGAGGTCATGATGTGGAGCTTTGTTTTTAGTTTGTGATTCAAAGTTAGAAATGAATGGCTGTTTCCTGGTAGAAATCCCAAGTGTTTAAGATTTTTAAACTCTTACTTTTGGTTGCTTGAGTTAGTGTGTCTTTGCTGCCTTAAGAGTGGGTTTATAAAGGTAATGAATGTGTTTCCATTGAGACTTCCCTGGACCTAAACAGAAAAAGTTAAGCTCTGCCAGTCTTTAAATGACAGTGATGTCTTTCCTGTTTGGTAAAGATCAAACAAGACATTTAATTTTTTCAAAATTTTGATAAAATCTTAGATGCATTTGTATTTTAGTATTATGTCAAATACAGTTAAATTCTTCATTTGAAAGTAGTGTAATACACCTTTACAAAGGAAGAGTTGATAAATAGATGAAAACATTGTTGTTTTTAATTACTTAGCCTCAGTTTTTGTTAAATGAAAATATTGCCATACAGGGTTAGTGTTTAGTAATTAGTGTGTTTCATAGAAGAAAAAATACTTTGAAAAGTTGTCTAATAGTGGAATTCATATATTGAAGTTGGGGTTTTTTTCCATTTTTCTTGTGAATAAAGTCATTAACACCATGCCTGATAGCTCTGGAGACTTTCAGAATGCACTAAGAAACAGATTTCTGCTCTGGATTTCTTAGTCTCAGGAAGAGTTCATTTGTCAACTTGTTTACAGAGTGGTTCACGTGCCATGGCTGTGTGAACTGAAACTCAGAAATAGCAATGCTTTGAGTAGATGATATATCTAAAAGAAGGTTCTTCCATTTCCCCTGAATACCTGGTCATGCCTTGTTGTTCTACATTAAACAAGAGGAATTGGATTTTTCACTGCCTCTCCAATTAAAATTTCCATATTCAGGGAATTTTCTTTGAGCTGAGAGCAGGCAGTAGATGTTCTGGTACAAGTCCTGCTGCTTCTTTGGTTATAAAACCAGATTTCCACAGCTCAGCTTATGCAAAGGTTCTTGCCTATACAGTTTTTCTTCGGCTGCTTGTAATTTCCCAGTCAGCTGTTGGACAAGGGAACAGTGAGGATCATTCATTTCCTCAAAAGCAGCTTAGCTGAACTAGCACTACGTGTGTCTTGCATCATTTTGGGGTTTGAATTCAGAAGTGCTTCAGGATATAAAACGTTCTTTTTCCTTTACATTGTTCCCCGCAAGATTCCCGTCACATTTAATGGAATCGTGCATTTCTACCCCTTGCTTGCAGATGGGAAAGTGCTGAACGTTGTGGAGATGACAGACAGCTCGGTTTTTGCTCACCGAGACCAAAACCTAAATGATAAAACTGAGAATTAGTTAATCCAGGAAGAACTGACACTTGAACTCTGCAGGGAAGGCTCTGAAGCTTGTACAGTTTCAGCATTACTGAACTTTCTCGTGGGAGATGTTTACTCTTAGTATTAATTTGCATTTTGTCGCTTTTAAGTTCAGCTTGCATGGTGGTAAAAAATGAGCTTTGAGTTGTTTCTCATACGTTAAATTTATGGCACGTTCCGTTGCTCTCCAGAAAAATCAAGGGTGACAGTCATTGCTGTGAACAGCAGGAGTGAGGTGGACCTTGTGCAGTGCAGGGAACACTTGTGGAATGTGTGTACACTGAATATTATCACAACTTGCTTTGATCCAAGTGCTACAAAGAGGGGGCTGGGGAGGGGAAGTGGACAGCATGTGTGTGCCCTCATATTCCTGAGTGGTGAGGAATGGGATAGGAAGAAACATCTTTATGCTTAAACAGCAAAATGCAAAGGGAAGTAATTTTCTGTTTGTGCAGAGCAATAGTGGATTACTTGGCTTAAACTTCCTTACAGCAGAACTCTCAGACTGTTCCTTTCTGCAAAAACCATTATATGCTGGCCTTTGCTTACAGTCAAATTAGTGACTTTCCATATTGAGTTTGAGCTGTCTCCCCTGCTCTCTTGGAACTGCTAATTCAAATTATGTTGTAATGTAGACACATGATTTTGTTTTGTGCTGAGATGTTTAAGTAATCAACAGTGAAGTATGCAGTGTCTGTGAGGCTGAATTTTTTTCTTTTTCCTCCTTTCGTGGTGTATCCAGAAATTCTTACTATATTAGTAACTTGAGAGAAAAAAAAGAGGGGGGAAAGAAAGCCCAAACCACTTTTCTTTTCTTGTTTCTTGTAGGTTTATGGGTGTCTGTGTGCATAAAGGACAGCTGCACGCTCTTACTGAGGTAAGACAATTTCATGATATAAGTACTGAATATGAAAACAGTTCTCAGGCCGGATTCTGCAACTGCTGTTGAGTGACGTTTCTTTTATGGGGAGTGGTGAGTTAGTCACTTGGTACTTACTGTGCTGTGGGAAGGCTGCAGAATCAAGCCTCAGAACTCCCCTTTGCTCACAGCTCTTATGTCTTTTCTGCTCAGAAGCACTTAGAATGGGGGAAAAAAAATCATAGTAGGAACATAACATTTTACTGACAGTGTCTGACATGAGAGACGTGTCATTTGTTTCAATGACACCGCATTGTGTTTAAGTCTTATTTCTACTCCAGCTGAACATTTCACAGGTGAGTCAGTGACATTTCAGCTGGGTGATATTATTGTATTCAGTCCCTACCACTTTCTTATTTGGAATAACATCAAGATTACAGCTTAATCTGGGTCCCATTAAAAGGAATTATTCCACTGCCTGTGGACCCTGGCCAAGATCTGGGTATCAAATGTGAAGCTGAAGTTTCCGTTCATGTGAGTCTTCCCACCCAGTTTTACTGGCTTGTGTGTTTAATCCCTCTGTAAACTGCTCAGGAAAAACAAGAAGGGAGTATTTTCTTGTTGGGAATAGTGTTGCCTGTTTTGAGTCAAAATCGATAAAATTATTTTGCCTGTTGTATTAGTTTGAGTACAGATTGAAAGGAAAGTAATGTTTTGTAAAGTTAATGTTGCTTACTTCTGACTCGTAAGAACTGCTGCATTAAAAGATGAACCCTTTCCCACCCTCCCAAAGACAGGTATGCTATTAATTAACAATTAAAGCAGGTTCCTGGTACGGTGTGCTTGCCAAGGACTGCAGTAAAATGAGAAGACTGGATGGCTGTATGCTAATCAGCAGGATATGTGTCACCATCACTTTCTGGAACTTACATATGCAACTCTGAGGCAAAGATGCACATATGTGGGCAGTGAATTTCTTCACCTTCTGGGGTGACAGTTCTGCAGTTCTAGTTCTAGCTGCTGCTGGAGTGATGCACTCTAGTTCACAGTGTCTGTATTTCTAGTGTAACAGCAAAGGTCAAAGACACTTTCAGAAATTTCAGGATACAATGTGTGTGAGCACTCTGGTGTGAGAGGGACAGTTTTTTTGATTCCCCACCCTCCTTGTGCTCAGTAGAGGAAACATTTCTAAGATGGCTGATCAAGACCTTCTGGCAGGCTTTGCTAATGCTATTGCTGATTTCTTTTGGACCTCTGATCAATGAAAACAGGGAGGGTTTGTGTCCTTCCACTCACTGAACACATCCCAGAAGAGATTGAGCTTCATAACACTTTGTCATACTAAAACTTGGCAGATTTTCCTCAGTGTGGTTTTTTTGTTTGTTTGGTTTTTCCCCCTCCTTCACAGCAGTTGCTTGCCATTTAAATGTCCCTCTCCACCCAAAAGCCAAGAAAATGAAAACAGCACAGATGCTTCCTCATGGAGAGCTAACTTTGTAGCTGCTTGCTTTGCTCAGCTATTTTTGAGTTCTTGGCAAGCAAATAAATCTAAGAAAGACTTCAAAGAATAACTTTTTATAGCTCTAATTCAGAATAACAGAAGAGATTTCAGAAACATCTTGAGACCAAAGAGGAAAAGTTTTAGACTGAAGAAGGTTGCTGCAACATTTGGAGAAACAGAAGAACTTCAGTGGTTTGTTATAAAAGTGTAATTACTGAACACTGCTTTTCTTCTGTGGACCAAGACAGGATTTAATGCCTTCAGTATGAAAATCCATGACCAAATTCGATGTTGTAGGGGAAGACACACACAACCTTGCCCAGTGCAGCAGTTGTTCTTTGGTTTTACAGAGTGTTTAAAAGTTAAAAGCTGTCTATGTTCCAAGTGGTGGAATTAGTTGTCTTTTGTGACAACAGCAGTGGCATTTCTCATCTTGAAGTGTGTGTAGAGTAATAGCTGAGTTCTGAAGACTTCTGAAGGTTAGAGAAGGGGGCTGAAATGATGTGCTGGAGGAGTTATTAGTGAGACAGACATGGTGAATCACCAGTTCAAATATAGCCCAGGAGGATAAACAAATCAGCCACTGTCTCGTGGCTTTTTGCAGCCTGTGGTCCAGCAAGGTGGTCTCCTGGCTTCCAGTGCTCAGCATAATTGATACTAGCCTGGCACTACAAGCACTCAGAACTTCTGCCAGGGTTTCACCTCTCTGGAGATGAAACTGTTGATTCAGAGGCCCGTTGGTCAATAGGTGTCTGAGTCACTGCAGGGAGAATCCTCTTACACTGCCTGTGCTGGACCTGTTCTGTAAGGAGCTTAATTATCCCTTCTTGTGTTTGGAGAGTACAGTTGATGATATGCCTGTGTAAAAGGGATACAGCATCGCTCAGAGCTTATGTCTGAGGGCACGATGGGAAATCATGTTTATTTAACAGAAGGAGTTGAGAACTTGAGGCCAATGTTCAGTGACTGGATTTAGAGGACTTGTGCGTAATGCCCTCCTGTGCTATTAACAGGCAGGGCAACAAACACAAATGTTTTAGAGGAGCCTTGAGGATTTTGTAAACTTGTTAAGGGGCTATATTAGAAATATATAGCATTTTGTTATTGGAAGGCAGAGTTGAAAGTGTTAAGAGGTGTTTTTTTGTGTGTGAGACATAGGAGAGGATCATGCAGAGCAGGTTTTTTGCTTGAGGAAGGTGTTGATCTTATGTATGCCTTGGGATTTTCCCTTTTGGCAGCATTTTGTGTTGTTTTAATTCTCCTCTCTCAAGTGGCTTTTGTTTTTGAAACTTGAGCAAGAGGCAGTTTCTGTTTGTTTTGGTTTGTTTTTTTCAAAATAAGAATGGAATGGTTTAATTATAGACTGCACTAGGACCTCGACCTTGTTCTGAATCCACAGTCTTATCAGTTTTGATAATCCGATTTTTTGAAGTTCTCAAACCAGAAGCTATGGCATGTGCCTCTTCTGAAGTAGCTCAGTATCCTTAAATTGATGGAACAGTGTAGGCTGGCGAGGACCTCAATCCCTGCAAGCACTGAGTTAAGAAACCTTTAAGGAAAGTAAATGCTTTAATAGGTGTATCACTCAGATGAGCTGGCAGGCATTAGACTGCCTCACAGACATCGAGCTCGTGGGCACAGATTTGCTGTGCTTGTTTTCTGTAAAACCAGAAACTGGGTATTCCTTCCTCAGCATTCAGCTCTAATCTGAAGCTGATGGTTTGTCCCTGGAGCTGCAGGAATCTGCAGTGCTTCCTGCTCTACTCACACGCCTCTCCAAACTCCTTTCAGCCTCAGGCCTCCCTGTGCTTTCCAGCCACCTTCCCAATCTGACAACTCTCTCTTCACTTCCATTTCTTCATGTCCTAGCACAGAGCAGCATCCTCAGTCTTGGAGAAACTCGGGTAGTGGTAGAGCTCTGGTGTCAGCGTGAGGTGCTGCTGAGCACTCAGAGACCGGACTGGAGCTGCTGCCAGGGGGTCAGCAGAGCTCAGGGACACGGAGCTCATGTGGAGCAGACACGGCTGGCTCAGCAGGAACTCCACAGGATCTTATCCCACCCACATTTACCCCTGAATGGCTGCTTGAGCAAACATCCATTTTGCATGAGAGGCAAACAAATTTATTTGTGTGTTGCAGGTTTTACAGGCCCGTGCCGAAGCTGATACCGCAGCTTACAGTCTAGCATTTAAAAGCCTCTTAATACCTTCGTGCAGCTCTTAAAACTATTTGTAGAACTCCATTAAACAGGTTTATCTGAATTTCTAGGAGACAGGTCAGGCTAAAAATCTTGTGATAATTAGATGTATATATATGCACAGAACGAGTCATACAGCTTGATAATTCCTTCCTGAAAAAAATGAAAGCCCTGCCAGCTGTGTGTGTAGAAGATGAGGAAGGCAGAGTTATTATGTGTTGATTGGGATATCTTGAAATTGCAGTGCTGCAGGGACAATAGTTAATTGTTGCAACAGAAGTTTTATGGCTATTAATTCATACTGGAAGATAGTAAAAAAGTGTGCAAATGCTCTGCTGCCACAATGCGTAGCTTTGTTTGTTCCATGTGGGATTTGTTGTGCTCTGGAGCAGAGAGCAGGGCTGCTCTCTGGAGCACTTGCTCAGTGATGGTATGAAATACACATTTAACGCAGATGTATGAGACAAAAAACGCTGTGAGAAACATCTTGACTCTTTTGTTTGTTTGTTTTTAAGAGAATCCACAGAATTCTTTGAGCTTGTGCACATTTTCAGTTTGATTAATTTTTTTTATAGCTGTGTCATAAACCTCAGGACAAAGTTTACTACGGAAAGCCTTCCAGACGTGGTAATTTTTATCCTGGGCAAGATAATTGCTGTTGGATAATTTTGACATGTTGTACTGTAATAGCTTACTGAATTTGACACTGCTGTTTTTACCATCAACCACAATTTGATTGTTTTGAGACAAGAATGCTGTTTGGAAAAGACTTTTCTTTTTTTTAATTCCTTGCATAGTGTATCTCTTTTGTACTTGTAAAGCTTGTCTTAATGAAAATGCCTGTGGCTTTTGAAGGGAGAGGTTATTTTCAGTGAGTTCTTCTATGATAACTGAAAACTTTGCTTTCTCACCCAACTGCAATAATTTAAGTAAACTATAAATGCAATTAGTGGAGTTTCAGGTTTTCACAGACCTTCCTTTTTTTAGTATTTTTCTTTTTTACTTTTGGAGATAACACTGATTAGAAAGCAAACATACTAAAAGCTGAAAATTCTCAGCCTTGTTATAATTGTGCTGAATTATCCTTTTACAAAGAATGCAAAGTAAGTTCTTCAAGTGAGAAGGTCCTTCTGATGTACAGCTTTCACAAGCAGAATCTGTCATTAAAAGTGCTTCATTTTCCTCTTTGGTTTTTTCCTGCCCTCAGTTCTTAATCAACTTTTTATGGAGAACCTTTGACACTGGAATGGAGAAAACCGGGCAGACATCACTTAGGTCTGCTCTTCTGAACTTTATGCTGCAGCAAAAATTGTAGGCATA